AATATTTATATCTTATCATTTTATGGTATGAACTAGGCAAATTTACTCTCCATATCATCAAAGCAATCAGTGGCGTATCATAGCCCCCCCCATTGACTGTGTTTACCGTTGACTTTTATTAAGATTAATAAAAAAAATAAAAAGTGTAAATAAAAGACATTATATTGTTATTGTATTTTAGATTCTGAGCGGAGCGAGGATCTATTGGTTTTACAATGGTGTTTATTTTAGATTCTGAGTGAAACGATGAATGTATTGATTTTACAATGATGTGTGTTTTTTTTTTTATTTTTTTTTTATTTTTTTATTTTTATATTTATTTTTTTTGTGTCTGTGTACACGATAAGTAGTCGAAATAATGCTTCGATTTTCGACTTCAGTATCTTGTTCGATTGGAAAGTGAATATCGTTGGTGCATTGGGGAGGTCAAAATTTAAATTTCCCAGTAGTTTTCAAGAGCGCCGGGAAAAACAACATAAAAATTAAGGAAAAACGGGAATTTTTACGCAAAATCGGTTTTCCAAAAAATCGATTCTGGTTTTTGGTGTAACTTTAAAACAAATGACCGTAGATACATGAAATTTTCACTGGTTGTTTATATTTGCATTTTCTATACACGATAACATTTTCAAAATATTTTGATTTATTTTGAACTGTTTAGGGACATTTTCATTTTCCATTTTTTTTTAGTTTTTTTTCTAAAAATATCAATAAAATTTTATTTGTTGGTTGCGAAAGCTTGAAAATTTAATAGAAGGCTCCTAATATGTTGTTTCAAAGGCAGATGAAAAATATTAAAAATCCTTAGTCACAATTTTTTTTTATAAGCATTTAAAGTTCAAAAATTGACAAAATATGGAAAAATCACGAAAATTAGCAAATTATTTTGAGTTAAGAATTCGTAAAAATTTTTCTTTTTAAATCTAAGATTTGAAAATCTAATACAAGATTACTCATAAGATTGTCTACCTTTAGCAATAAAAAAAATTTCTACCGGAAAGTCAAATTAAATTTTTATGAGCGTTTGAAATTCAAATTTTTACAACATTGGATATTCACTCGATTTCTCATGTGGCAATTTCCTTTTTTGTTGTAATTAAAAAACGAATTACTGTAGATACATGAAAATTTCACTGAATGTTTATATTAGCATTTCCTATACACCCTACAATTTTGAAAATATTTTGACACTTTTTGAGCCGTTTACGGACATTTTCAGTTTTCAATTTTTTTAGTTTTTTTTTTCTATAAATATCAATTAAGTTTTATCTGTTGTGCCAAAAAGTGTAAAAATTTAATACAAGGCTCCTGATATATTGTTACAATATCAGTTGAAAAATATTAAAAATACATAGGCACAATTTTTTTTTATAAGCATTTTAACATCGAATTTTGATAGAATTTTTCAAAATCTCGAAAATTATTAATCATCGTAATTAATAAATTATAAAATGTTCAGTTTTTATAGCTAAGGATTGAAAATTTAAAACAAGATTCCACGTAAGTAGTTAATTCTCTTACCGAAAAATCTAAAAAATATACAATCACAGTTTTTTTTTTATAGTCATTTTATGTTCAAATTTGGACGAAATTACATATTAAAAAACCTAGTTATTTTGTTGTGATTATATAATATTATTCGTGGGTACCTACTTGAAACTTCTAAAGTGTACTATTATATATATATATGATAGTATCAGGGTTTGTTGTTGGTGTATAACGTGTTATAAGTACCTAATGGATATTGTGATATGATTAATTTGGAATTTATTTTAGGTCAATTTTTTTTTTAATACCATAGATATGTATATAATTTGTCTTAAACCTAGACTAACATACCGTCTTCGCTCAGAATCGTTTTTCTTATACAATGATATTGTATCATTGAATTCAAATTTAATAGCATCAATTATACAGTGACCCACTTGTAACCTACTGTACAGCAGAGCGACATCCACTTACCCACCTTTTTTTTTATTATTTTTTTATTTTGTATACAACATTTCTACCAGAAGGAGTGCTTCGATTTCAACATATAGTATCTTATTTGTTAGAAAATTGGATCAAGATCAAGATCTAAAGGTCATTTTTCGATTTTCTCAATATTTAATGCCACGGGAAAAACCAACGATAAACTACAAAAAACCGCTAAATATGGGATTTTAAGTTTTAACGCACCACAAAAACAAATAAAAATGACGATTTTATTTATTGTGTTGTAATTTATAATATTAATTCAACATACAGGCCTATAATAAAATATAATAACAATATAAAATATCCAGACTGACAAACCGTCTCCGCTCAGAATCGTTTTTCGTATACTATAATTTAATACAATCCATTATACAGTGGCCCACTATTGTAACGTACTGTACAGCAGAGTGTCTTCCACTTACCCGCTTTTTTTGTATTTTTTTGTGATATTTAGTCCTCCCCACACAAAATTTCTGGCTACGCCACTGAAAGCAATATAATGAAAAATATGTTGAAACTTGAAAGTATACCTTCCACCTATCTAGTTTAGGATGTAAACAAAATAAGCCATAGATTATATTATAATATGTTCTTAATGTTCTTATGTTTGAATCTGATAATAAAAGTTAACTTAAGTACTATTATTTTAAACATGAACACACATTATTTTGTTTTTACCATAAGAAAATATATTATCATTTGTTTGTGTAACTATTATACATAATAATATGCAGAGCACAATTCGGTATATCTTCTCCGACGTAACAATAATTAAATAATAAAATAACAGCTATTTTAATAGTGATAGTAGTTCAATACATTCATCCTTGGTGATTAATTACTTAATTTTGATGTTTTTTAAATACCATACATTATATTTTTATCATGAAATGATTTTTTTATGCGATTGGTTATTATAATAATTAAATCGTACACATGTTGTACTTGCACTGCAGGAGAGAAATGCAGTAACCGTTGTATAATATTGTTTGTTATTGTATTTTTTTTTCAATATACCCATTTGACAGTGACATTGTAAATGATTGTCTGAAAACTGAAAAGGCTAAAATGGAGAATCAAAAATCAGTAATTCTTATAGTTCTTACTTCTTACCACCTACTACTATATCTATTTTTGTTATAATGACGTGCGTGCGTGCATTTGTTTGTTTTTACTGTTTCTACCAGTGCTGTGATTGTTGTTAGTAACGAGTTTATGTATATTATAGTATTATAAACGTATACAATAATAAAGGTTTATTGGTCTCTCTCTCTCTAACCTAAAGACATTATGACAGTGCATGTGACGTGAACTTGTGCAGTGCAGCGGCAGCGATGTCATGCAATAGCTGCTGCCCCCGCACTGGTCTTCCTCGTTCCGGCCTTGGGTCCGGTTAAACTGCCGATGTTGCATCGCGTGTATATTCTGTATGTGTAGGTGTGTGCGTGTGCGTGTGCGTGCGTTTGTGCAACAACGGAGAGGTCGATGCAACGCCCAACTTTTTCAAACAGTGTGTATTCGTACCTATGTATGTGCGTTGTGTGCACTGTGCCATTTCGGTTGTCTTGTGCAATGGACCACAGAGATTATACTGAGGGTCTAGACCAAGGCCACCGTCACCGCTATCGTTTCTCCTCTCTCTCTCTCTCTCTCTCTCCCACCGTTTCTAGTATACTGGTGTATATATAGTAAATCGTCTTACAACATGCATCCACCGTACCGTTAAAAAAAACTACACAGTGTATATCGGATTTCCGTGTTCATTCTACGTAACATTCATGTTAAAAAAAAAATAATAATACCACATCTTCAACTCAACTTACAACCGCTCACACATGTTATATTCAGAAATATACAAATATAAAAAATGCATTGCTGTCGTTATTAGCGGCAGGATTATAGTTTTATATTGTATCAATACATCCTTACATAATATTATCAATATATCCATTGAATTACTTATTCAGATTTACAATTAATGCTTGAGTATTATTGAACGACGCTCGTACGCCTTCATCACAGATTTTAGTTTATAAATTGCCCTTCTAAAATGTTTTTATCATTTTTTTTCATTTTTTTTCATTTTTACTCTAAATCGGCCGTCTATTTGCATTTGTAATAACTAATTTGTAATTGATTGATGAAATGGTTACTTTATCATCTGACGTTTTGATCTGTTAACAATAATATGTGAATTTGGAATATTGTCTGATACAGAAAGGCTTGAAAGCAGTGTTAAAATATATAGATTTGTCGTAAGTTGCGACAACAATATACAGTATATTGGTGTTACTCTGAACAAAGTTTTTGTGTTATAATGTTTATAACTATTAACTATATAAATATAATATGACTTATGAATTAAACTTTAAATATGTGTGCAATATTTTATGAAAGAGTACTTATTGAATTGACTTCTTTTAGTACTGTGTCATCATTCCTATAAAAAAAAATGTTTTATTTACTTAAAATTAGGCTGTTTTTTTATTGTATAGTATATACTGTATATAGTGTTATCACTTTTTAAATATTAAATATTTCGAAATAGTTCTTTCGAACAACTAAACCACTTGAGACTCTATTCGATTAGACTTTGAGAAAAAACATGCGTCAAGCGATATTAACATAAAATAGAGAAATTTCAGAAAGGATAAGTTTTTGACAGATGTATAAATTATAAAATTGTTACTCATATTACCCATATATTATTAATTGTATAGTATAAAAGAAAACTCAGATATTCGTCTAAGCGAATTTAACTATTTATTTAACTACTGAATATAATAATTTATAATAAGTAATAACCAATGACTGTTTATATATTTTTTTTTTTTGATAATGAAAGTATGAAACTCGATTAGTTGAATGTAATTACGACATTCAAATATTTACTCACTACATTTCAATGAAAGTCTTAAGTATCATACTATTTTGTATAATTATTCATATTTATAATTTGACAGGTAAAAAATATTACGAATAGTTAAATTATAAAAAATACCTAAGTAATATAAATCAAATCCATGACCCCTATAAAGATGGAAAAATATGAATGGATTAATCCTGATAACCATAGTATTGCCGTTGACGACCAGAAACAACCAGTTTTAAATGAAAATGGCGATCTTATTGTGTTGGACAACGAAAGTGAGTATCGTTTAAAAAGAAACTTCTTCAAGAGGTTTACAATTATACAATTATATACAGTTGGTATACACTCTTCGAAGTTTCTCGTTTAAATAAAACATTTTATTTTTCACACCAAACTGTATGAAGAAAAAATTATACAACGAACATTTTTAGGCGGAAAGTGTATAGCAGTTCCTAATTCTGAGGAAGTATTGGAAATTTTTGGTTTTGGGTATCATGGGAGTTACGGGTCACCCCCCGGGTCACCAAAAGATTCGTCTGAACATGATATGAAACCAATCGTCCAAGTCTTGACAGGTAAATATATATTCCTAAATTATTATAATACACGCATTCAATTTTTTATCCGTTTCATAATGTTATTTATAAAGAAGTACTATATTATTATACGAAGCTGTTAATGAGTTTTTGTGGATTCCTTATCTACTTACCCGCTGTTCCACAATTCACGATCGTAAATCTGTTGTTGACGTCCGATTGAAGGTCTTGTGTCTTAATGTACGATAATTTTATTATCATTGACAGACATCAATTACTTGTCATTAAGAAAAATTCAAATTTCTGTCATATAGTTGATTGAGAAAATTTATAATTCAAACTTATACATAATAGGTATGATGTTAATATTAAATGCATTTCGATTGAAATATAATTTGTAAAAAAATTTCTAATTTTTTAAAAGACAATTTTATTCTTGTTTTGTTTTATTTTATATATTTTTTTTCATTTTATACATTCTTACAGTATTTTAATATCTTACTTTCTACTAATATTAAAATTATGGCGTAAATCGATATTTTACTTTCAAAACAATGAATAATATATTATCAAAGGTCATCAGTAGCATCACTAACCTATCCTAACAAGCGCATATAAGTATATATCAATAATTTATTTTATAAAAATGAAAGTGCACGTATTGACGTATTGTATTCTATATAAAGCTCCATAACCTGGAATTCCAAGTCAAATTTTATTCATTTAATTTTTTAATTAATTATATAGTTTACAGGGTAGGTATACTTAATAATTATATTATGTATAATTAATTAAGTGAATAGATTTATTTGGTTTTGAAAATTTAAATACTGTAAATTTGAATACAACTATTGCTCTTTAATATTCAGTAATAATCGGCTAGAGTAGTAATTTTATAAACCAGCAGGTAGGTACTTACAAATAATACATTTGTAAACAATTAATAATGTTTTCGAGATTTTATTTTATTTCATAGTTTTATCACATAATATTACCTATAGTTGTTTTTAACTTCATTATTTTTTATTTATTTATGTAGTCATCATTTGATTGTAAAACGTGCAATAATAATACATTTAATGAGCCATACAACTGTTTTTAATGGTATTATATAATTTGTTTTTACTATACAGACATTCATACACCAATATCAGTATTCAGTACATGTTTAATTTATAATTCCATTTTTAAGTAAACACTATATTAATGATAAAAAGTAAATTTAATTGATAATAACTGTGTACGTGCTTATATTATTAGATAAAACATATTAGGTGTATAGGTAATTTAACAAATATTAAAAATTTTAAATTACGGTCGTATATCGTTTCTTTCGTTCTATGTTCCTACCTATTCAAGACTGGTAGCTAATGCTACACCAATATCACATTTCGCAATGATAGTAATATTTTATGTATAATAATGATTGAAACCGTAAAATCTAATTGTAAACTACTCAATTGCATCATGAAACGGATAATTTATTGTGTTATATTCATAAACCTTATACCTAATACCCAATAGCCGGTCTTCATTGTTTACTGAGAGCGGTCAGATAAATGACACATTTCGTGTGTGATTTGTGACTGAGTTACAATATTGTACTTAGTGTACCTATTATCAATGCCGGTTGTCTCTGCTGTATTTTTACTACATCTACACTACATGCAATGCCGGTTTATTAGCATATTAAGGTCTATGTATTATATTGTTGAACGCTGACCATCATTAAATTATACAGGGTGTCTCGTACCACCCGGTAGCCTACTGCTGAATAATATTATACTACTCATCTGCCAATATCTAAACACAAAATGTCAAAATATTTACATCAACATAATATCGGTATTCGGTATTTCAGATTTGTAATAAGCACAAAAACAAAATTTTTACAATTTTTCTGTTTCGAGTTTAGGCCCTCTGATGCCCAGTAATAGTTTTCCAAAATCGTTTTTCACTGACGGGGTGGAGGAGACATCCGGTATGTACAATAAATCTATAATATTATACTTTACCTAAGAACATCCATAATTTCAAAAACTATTAGTCTTTTTGAAAATATTGTTTCTACATAATTTTAAATTATTACAATATAACACTTGAAAAAAATATTTTCTATTGAGTTTATGAATCACAAATATTTAAAGTTTCGATGAGTGATGTAGTGGATAGTGGATCGACATTTTACTGGGTACCTCTGACCACTCCACTCTGCTCATTAAAACTTAAGATATTCATGAACTTATATATATTATATACTTGTTTGAAATTCGATTTTAAACACCGTAGTACCCCGTAAAATATTCGGATTTGGAAATAAAAATGTATGCTGTCATTAAGCAATTAAAAAATTATTAAGTAAGTAACATAAATTTTTTTTTTTTTAAAGTACAATTTTGTGACAATAAATTTATGTAAAAAATGTTCATAGATATTAATAGTTTTTGAAATACATAGTGTTGTTTGTTAAAAAGAATCATACGGTATTTATAATAAGTGTTATTATAAGCCCCCTCACATAAAGAAAAAATTAAATTAAATAAAAGACGCATTAGTCTTAACCAACCTACACTACGAAATATGTGCATCACTGTATTTCAGACGCCGACCAACTACTGTGGAGCATGAGGACACCATGCCAGAAGGATATCGAAGCGACTAGGGAGATGCTGGGACTAGTGGCCTCTAAAAAATACCAGGATATGTTCAACGACCAATGCACTGTCAAGATTCGAGTGTGGAAGCGGATATGCGAGGAACTAATGTCGAAAGGGTACAGAATCGCGGACTCAGTGAACGAAGGTGGCATCAAGTGCCACCAAAAATGGCGTAATCTGGAGAAGTCGTACCGGAACTACCTAATTTGCTCGACAGACCCGAACAGTTCAGCGCCCAAAAAACCACCGCCGTACTTCGAGGCGCTGCACGACATTCTCAAGCGGAAGAAGAAGTACGCGAACGCGGCCACGTACACGCAAACGGTGGTGGTCGGCGATGACATGGCCGACGCGGACGCATCGAGCGTCAGCGGCATGCATAACCATCACATGAACGACTCGGACGCGGCACTGGACGACATGGACGATATGGACGGCCCGAATGACGACCACTGTTACGTGGTCAACAGTTCCGGTCACGTGTCCAAACGGTTCAAAGTGGACCCGCTGACGATGTGCTCGACCACCAGTGGCGGCGGCGGCAACGGCGGCGGCGGCGTCGGCTCTTCATCGTCTTCTCGCCGGCATCATCACGTCCAGCAACCGGACGTGCTAGAACAAATCCTGGAACAGATGGTCCGCGTGCACCGGGACACGTTGTCCATGCACGATCGGCACTTCACCAAGATGGAGAAGCTGATGAAGGAGAACGCGGTGCAGACCAAGCGGCTTGCCGACGTCATGAGTCAGTTGTTGCACAACAGCCGCATGGACGATTGCGGCAGCGGCAAAAGCAACGACAAGTCGACCGGCATGAACTCATCAGACATTGAATGATCAGAGTCCCACGTGACTCTTCTTAGTACATAAAGTGTATAATATTATATTATTATGTTCGTGATCGACGGACTTGGCGCCGACGAGGAACGTTAACCACACGGCACACCCCTTACGCCACGTTCGTGTTTTTTTTTGTGTTTACCTCAGAATTGTGTACGCATTTCAAACAACATCCTCTTACCCCCCCCCCCTCTCACAAATATAGCCTCCCAATTTGTTTAGAGTTAAATTCAAATGGTTCAAATAATATGTAGTAACAAGTATACATAGCATTAAATTATAATATAAGATTTAATAAAGTAGCTCGTCTTTTTCATGTTTATTTATAAGGTAGTCCCGCGCGTGGTTATCAACTTGTTCGGTATTTTATATTCCTCTTGTGTATAATTCATATTAATTATAAGTTATTTGAAACCATTATATTATTATGATAATAAAACCATTAGTATATTATATATTATTTACATTAATTCATGTTTATTATAACACCGTGCCACTACACACGTAAGTATACACTGGTACAAGTCACCTCGCGGTTGCGGCAGATTTATGGTCGGTTGAGTGTTTTTTTTTTTTAATTCAAGAAACAGCCAAACTTTATTTATATATTTACTAAACTATTTACCCTCCCACTTTACACAATGTAGGCACTATATAGGTCTCTCAATATTCCCGACCAGAGAAAACCTAGGTACCGGTCTAACGTGTGATCTACCGCGGTTACTATTGATTTCCCATAAAAAATAAAATAGATATACGCAACGGACACAAAAAATACTGTTTTCATATCTTCTTTAAAATCTTCAAAAATATTTTTGAGTTTGATGCGGACATCCGACATAACCATTTCGCTCATTTAATGTTTTATGCGCTTTCCATTTATCACCGTATGAATAATTGTTCCAATTTTATCTTAATTTGTAATTATATGAACTATGTCGGTGCAATTGTTTGGGCATCTCGTTTTTTGCATTCGTTCTATACTATTCTAAAGCCTTAATATCGACAGCATAATCCAAACATTCAGGGCCATTGCATTCGTTTTCCATTTTTATTTTTTGACTTTGTCATTTTAATTTTCACAATTAAACGTACTATTGGTTGTATTTGGTTATTGATCACCAAACCTCCTCTGTCAACCCCTGTGATATTCTGTACAATCGTAACAGGTCCGTCTATCCGATTTTTCTCCAAACATATTTACGTTTTCATGGCAAGGATCATATCAATCCATAAATGTGTTTTTATTTCTGTTTCTCAATAAAGAATTTATTTATTTATTGATATATCATGATACCTAAACCATAAAAACTTCATAATTTCACAAAGTTATAGGTTGGTTACTAATCATTAAAAACTATCAGCCCCTGATTTATGCAGATGCATGTGGTGTACGAGCACAGATCCCTCTTACACTGTATAATATATATATAAATACTTGTCAAAGCCATGCCCAAAAAACGAATAATAATTATATAGTAGTAAACTTTTATTTTCTGAAATTAAATGTAGAAATCTCGTATGAGCTCTTATCACAAAAAAACTAGACTCTTTGTCATTACTCGCATTATTATACATCAATCATATAATGTTCCAAAATCATTGACGCTTGAATAACTTTTAAAAATCATTTTGAACGCGTTTTATATGCTTGTATTTGATAGTCTGCTATCTTAACTATATTGGTGATGATTTATATTTGTTTAATTTTTGCATGGTTTTAATTTTTAGTTAAAGATTTCTCTTGGCTCTCCCTATATTAAACCCTATGCCATTTAATATCACAATCGTTTATATTAGTGCTAATAAATACTATATATTTATATACACCCAAGGTCCAAACAAACTTGGTACTGCTATCTGATATATTATTATTATAAGAGTTTGTTAAAATTTTATGTGCGTGTGCAAATGTTGAAGTACGCGTATAGCATACAGTATAGTTGGCACGTTATAGGCCGATACTAAGAGGTACTGTAAGACCAATATATTATTACATAATACAATATTATACATTCTACGAAGTTTGCACTGCGTTTATACGAAGATCATTCGTTGTTAATATATACTCTATTCAGAATAAGATTGAACCGATTCGCGCATGCAGACTGAGCCGCCGGACAGTGCCTGACCCCCCATGTGATGGCTATCCGTTCTGTGATTGGCTGACGGTCATCGCCAGCCGTCGTCAGTCCTCGGGAGCCTGTGCTAACGCTCTCACTGATGTCCGGATTGTGGTAGGAAAAACTTGTTTTGGTCAGCCGAGTGGTCCAATCTTGTTCTAAATAGAGTATAGTGTATATATTATTATTATGTAAGCGCCAAGCGACCGTTTTACCGCACTCGTTTCGCTGTCAAACGTCGCGTGCACAACAATTATTCATCGCCGCGCGATAGTAGAGTCGAGCCGGCCTATACAAACTAAACCAAAATAACGAAGGGTAAAAAACGATTGCTCCGCCGTGTGCATGATATCATGCACACATATATATACCTATAATTATAGCGCAATGAGGGGTCGCGCTAAATCCTCATTACCGATACTGCACTTCCCCGCCAGTCGACGATCGTATTTTTTTAACACACGTATTATACGCCATGTTTTGTGCAACACACGTGGTACTTAACGTCCGCGTCGTGCAAAGGGGAAATCGAACACAATGCCGCGGTGTCCTTAACCTGGGACAAGGTCGATTTCCTTGTCCCTTAGCCCCGGCTACGTCGCGCGCGCTTTTTCTCTGTGTATATAATGTGTGTGTGTGTGTGTAAGTGCTCTTTTGAGGTCCACAACCCAGTGGCGTACAGTGTGCTTATCTGTCCCACCTCACCAGACTCACGCATACGTTTTGTATACGGAGTGATCCATTTGAAGTAAGACACTCGTTGTTTCAGAAAACACTAACGTTATTTAAAATATTTCTTTTACGTAATTTCAAGTCGTTAAAAAACAATATTTTTAAGAAAAAAATATATTGATCTGTTTGTTTCCATCATTATCGAGTTTTAAGTTTTAATCTACTATATTTTAATGACAATATAGGCACATTTTTAATTTTATATTCCGTAGCAGAAGTTTATTCAGAGTGTTTCGATCTATAAATATCAAATTTTGAACAAATAGCTGTTATTAGTTATAACTTATAAGTGTTGAAGTTTTGATGGGCGGAGTAGTGGACCAACATTTTTCGGGGTACCTATGTACTCCAATAAAACCCCTGTATCAAAGTACTATAAATAATATTTTTCTTCGAAATTAACAATGTAGGGGTATATTATCATTGAGTAAAAAATGAAAAAATGTTGTGGTTCGGCGACTTATAATAAAAAAAAAAAATATATTTTCAAAAACATTAAACGTTTTTATAATAATGAATGTCTTACGTTAAATGAATCACCTGGTATATTTGGCTGCTGCTTAGCCCGCCTGGTTTTATAATTCCTCCTTGGCTCCTTCTATATTATATTTTTCATTGAGTATATAATAGTGTGGCCTGTGTAATTCTGCATATAATAATATTTTATAATTTGAATGTGCGTTGTATGTATTATGGAAGTATAACAATAGCTATATTATATAGGAATTATGTTCCTGTGCGGCTGTGCAAGGACGACTGCGTCGCAGGGCCGTATTTAGAAATGTTCAGCTTAAGAGAAAAAAAAATGTACCTATTAGTTTTAAAAAACAATTTTGACAATGAATTTTGTTAGACTTTGTTCAAATAAATGTTCTTCCTGTATTTTTGTGACTCGGGAAATTCTTTAATTATATCTACATTAGGTATCTAGCATAATTTTTGTCGCTGTGGTTAGATCTCTTTCGATATTGACTATAGCCGCTATGGTAGTACTATAATGATAACAATATTAATTATGTTTAACAAATTATTACAATATATAAAAATATAATTTTAATTGTCGGGAATAAAGACAATGAAGTTACGAGAGGGTTCAACCAATGACAATTTCAAAAATAATAGTCACCACTCTAAAGCCATTATTAGTATATCTATTTTATATATATATATATATATATATATATATATATATTTAGTCAAATCTTCTTTCCTTTTTGGGAGTATAAAAGGATTTTATTAAGTATATTGATTTAATCAGCTATGTAATATAATGTGATTAACATAATTTATATTATCAACTAAAAACATTTTTTTAATAGTTTCGTGTTATATAATATAATAACACAACTCACGAAGAACGTTTCGAACACTTCAAAGATCAAATTAAGTAGGTATAGAACTCTCCTCATTGAAGAAATTCTGGTTTCCCCACTGGCGTACTTATCTATCATTAGTCATTACACCGTCTATATATATTATATACTAATGCCATGCGTATTTCATAGCTTAAGCCTTAAATATACACTTTGACGCGTAACGGTTATAATAATATTTTATATTATGTACGCGTGTGTACCATGTGTGTTTTGTAAATTATATACAGGGTGATTCACCAACCATGCTCACCCCCATTTTTCTTTAATAATGTAGTTTAAAATTTTATTTGTTGGATATTTTTTTTTTTTAAATAATATATAATATTTACAAATTATTGAAATTGTTTGTACCACTTAAGGAGTGTCCTGTGGCGATATAAACTTCTTGTTTTACAAATGAGGACCCCCATTTTTTTTGACTAAAATTATTCAGTACATATTTTATTTGAAAAAGCATATGTACCCAATTCAAAATTCAGACGAGTAGATTCTCAGTTATTAAAATGTTTATTCTAAGATTTAAGAATAATAGTGAAAAGTTATTTTTCAAAAGTATAAAACAGATGTAATATTGAATTAAGTATTTATTATTCCTTGACTATTTTTTAATATTATAGTATATTAATACCAATATACTGGTATTGAATTATTAATGTTGATAAATAAATATTTATTACCAACATTTTTAAATCACCATGGTCCCCGAATCTTCTAAACCCATTATCATGTACCTATAATAGGTAATAATAGGTAATTATCCTTAGTA